TCCCTTTCTCCATCCAGGCTTCTCCATGAATGCAATGTACTATATGAAAGGGGTCTGGAGAAAGCACATGACATACTGAGATGTTTAATGACATAAGAAAAGTGTTGCAAATGTAATGTTATTCAATTGTGGAACAGTTCATAAGGTGGTCTAGTCCCATGTGTTACATTGTTCAAGTAAGAACTTACACTGCAAGGCAGTTGCATTGCTAGTAAAATAAGCTAGGAGCTGTGAATATAAGAGCTTTAGCTTTAGCTACAAAATGAGCTCTCAAGTGCATAGAATGGAAACCGACAGCTGTCCAACTCATCCTCTCTTTTGACATATGCAGTGCCTGAATAGACGTCATTTAAGAAGAAGTAAACAAGAAAAATTAAAAATGGGGCTTATAAAAAGATGCTGCAGCATAAGGGAAGGGAACAATACTCTAAAATATAAAAGAAATAATTTTACATCAGAAAACATTATAATTTTAGAACTCAATTACTAAACCAATTTTGTATTCCTGAATAGATCTGTCATGATGTATTATCCTTTTTATATTATGCTGAATTAATTTTGTTTAGAATATTTTCATCAATTTTTGTAAGACTGATCTCTAATTTTCCTTTTTTCTTTGATGTTCTTACCAGATTTTGGTATTATCATAGTTGTGCTGACTTCATAACATGAGTTGGGAAATGTTCTCTCTTTTTCTTTTCTCTAGAGGAGACATGACCAATCATCAGAAAGATGCAAATCAAAACCACAGAGAGATATCCCTTTACATCCACTGGGATGGCTATATTGAAAAACAAACAAAATAACAAGTATTGGTGGAGATGTGGGGAAGTTAGAAACGTGCACTGTTAATGGCCCCATAAAATGGCACAACTGCAATGAAAAACAGTATGGAAATTCCTCAAAAAATTAAAAATAGAATTAAAAATATGATCTAACAATCTCACTTCTGGATATATATCCAAAAAATTTGAAAGCAGATCTCAGAAATATTTGGAAACTAATGTTCACAACAGCACTGTTCACAATAGTCAAGAGGTAGAGGCAGCCCAAATGTCTGTTGAATGATGAATGGATAAACAGTTGTGGTGCATAGATACAATGGAATACTCTGCAGCCTTAAAAAGGAAGGAAAGACCTGTTCATATACTATAACATGGATGAACCTTGAGGATATTATGCTAAATGAAATAAGCCGATCACAAAAGGACAAATACTATATAGGATTCCACTTGCAGAGGCATCTAAAGTAGATTCATAGAAATGGTGGTTTCTGTGAAAAAGTAGAATGACGGTTACTGGGGGTAAAAAAGAGTTGCTATTTAATGGGCATAGAGTTTCAGATTTGTAAGATGAAAAGTTCTGGAGATCTGTTTTACCACAGTGTAAATGTACTTGACACTACTACACTATACATTTAAAAATGATTAAGATGGTAGGTTTTATGATGCATATTTTTTACCACAATAAAAAAAAGACACAAACTGAAACTGTAGATGTTTGGCACGAAAAATAACTGGATGGGACTGACAGCCAATTACATGTTGCATAAGAAAAGATCAGTGAATTCGAAAGAAAAATAGAAACTATCCAAAATTAAATACAGAAAAAAAATTAAGAAAGAATTAGTGAAAAGTGAGTACCTTCAAGAGGCCTAATAGAGGTGTAATTGTAGTCCCAGGAAATAAAAGGGTGGGGGTGGGAGAAGATATCATATTTGAAGAAATAATGGTTGACAGTTTTCCATATTTGATGAAAACTATTAAGCCCACAGGTCCAGAAGTTCAATAAGCCCCAAGCACAAGAAACGTAGAAAACTACATAGAGGCAAATCATAGTTGCATTGCTCAAAACCAGTGATAAAGAGAAAATCTTAAAAACAGCCAGAAAATAAAAACTGGCCGTGTTCAGAAGAATAAAGACAAGACAGTAGATTTTTTTGTTGGAAACAATAAAAGAGAGAAGAAAGTGGAGCAACCCCTGTAGAGCATTAGATGAAAAAAAAAAAGTTCAGTCTAGAATTCTATACCCAATGAAAATATTTCCAAAATGAAGGTGAAATAAAGACCATTTTCAGCATACAAAGGCTGAAAGAATTCACCAGACCCACAGTATAAGAAATAAAAGAAAATCTTTCATGCAGAAGGAAAATCTATAGTGACAGAAATAAGATCACCAGTTGCTTCAGATGGGTAAGGACAAGGAGGGGTAGGTTGGGGCCTATCAAGGGGCACAAGGGTCTTATAGGGGTCATGGTTATGTTTATTATCTTGGTTGTAAATATAAAAACATCAAGTTATACATTTTATATCTGTGCAGCTTACTGTATGTCAATTATAGTTCAAAAAAGCTTTTTAAAAATCCTACATATATGTTATGATGTTGATCAGGGAAATCTTAATTACTCCTCTAAAAGTCATTGGGCCAGATTTATCTTCCTGTATTCAGTGGTGTTCATGGTCCCATAATGGAGCAAATAAAAATCCCCCAAATTTTTGGCTGCAGTAGGAACATTTTTGATGAAAGGTACAGAATCATAAAGTCATCTTTTGAAAATATTATAAAATTAAACATCAAAAGGCATTCTTCCATACTTCCTTTATAGAGGAAATAAAAGTATTTATCTTTCCACATAAATTAATATTTAAAATTTCTCTGGCAGAAAAAGCACTTGATTCATAAAGAGATATAAATGACTGTTATAAAACCTTTCTATGAATAGCTCTTGAGAGAGGAGAAGAGTGAGAAATGAAATACAAAAGGCAGTTTGACTATATGTCCTAGTTTTTCTGGGAACTTGTTGGTTTGTACCTTTTGTCTCAATATAGTTATTAATAATGCTGCCATTCACTCTTAAAATTACACTGGTTTGGAGAATGAATTATATGGGCATCTACCAAGGCTAGCTAAGATACAGGAGATGGAGAAAAGCAGGAGTATTTGGGTAAGACACACATCAAAGTCTTACATCTCCCAGAGCTGTCTAAACTCTCTGCTTCCCTACCAACCCATCTATCAAGAGAGCATGAATCGGTAGTGGGAAAGGTACTAACTCCACTGTGTATAGAGAAAGTCAGATTTCAGTGAAGGAAAAAGAAGTCGGCTCACACATAGAAGCAGATAAAACAATAAAGAGAAAGTCTGAACTGAAGTCAGGTTCCATTCCTGGGTCCCATTTTTGCAGAGGTGAGGTGCCTTTCTGTTCCTATTCATTGTTTGATTGTTCATTCTTTGAACTCCATGAATTAATACATTCTAGTTTTCAACAAACAGCTGTTTTATTTAATGTGGAGCATTCAATTATTCCTTCTTTTAAATTGAAATCCCCTTCATTTGGGAATTACCCTTCCCTAACTCCAGTGGATCTTTTCCTAGTGGAGCTTCCTATGTTAACACCCTAACACCCAGACCTGGCCAATCAGATTCTTCTGGCCAAAAATGTTGGTCCTGAGATGTGCACTTGACCCCAGCCACACTTCATTGGGCTCTTCTTTGGAATTTTTAAGCAAAAATTCTTAGGGAAGTTTCTTTTTCCTGGGACTGCTCTGCCAGGATGACATGAGTCTTGAGCTGTCTGTATCCTAATCACTCACTGTACAGATGCAATGGGAGGGAATGACAACCACAGATGGGGAGTTGGTAAACAGACACTGAGCATGGGTTTTTCTTACTTGCGATTGGAGAGACCTCACCATTTTGAGAGATCATCATTGAAATGTCACAAGGTAGTTACTACTATACTCCTTTCTCACATAGGAGGAAACTGAAGCTGAGAGAGCTTAAGTAAAAATCAAACATTTAGTGGCAGATGGAAATTTTAACACCAAACCCACAGTTTTCCTATCATACCTCCTTGTTTCTCATTGTAAGTTCATTGAATATGAACGAATAGAGTGTGTAATGCATATTGAGCACTGTTCTAGGAAAAATACCTGTCCCTATGTGACTTACAATTCTAATAAGTGCTTATGGATAAAAAGAAAAATAAAGCTGGGAAATGACATAGAAATTCCTGGGACAGAATGTTTCAAATAGGGCGGTTAGGGAAGGCCTCCTTTAGAATATTCCACCTTAATATAAACTTGACCAAGTTGAGGGAGACAGACACAAAGCTCTCTGGGGGAAGATCTTTCCAGGCAAAGGGTACAGAAATCTGGGAGTCTGCCCAGAAAGCTGGAGGGCTAGTGAGGAGTCTGGGTGGAGGGGGCACAGTGGACAAGATGGGGAGTGACAGGGGCGAGTCAGAGAAGCAGCTGGGGAAGGGTGAAGTCATGTGAGCCTTGAAGCCATTTAGAGAGGATTTCAGTTTTCTAATTGACATAGGAAGTCACAGGGAGGTTTTGGGCAGAGCCATGACCTAATCTGATGTATTTTAACCAGATCCTACTGTCTTTGGGTTGAGATCAGATGTAAGTTTAGTGGGCATGAAGCTGGGGAAGCAGGAGATAAGTTAGGGGACTTAAAATGTATGAGAGAGATGGAGACTGTGGCAAATCTGATGCTGCATTTGTGATGGAAAGTCTGAGAAAGGAGCGACAAAAGATCAACTGGAATCCTCAGAGGGAACCAACTGGAGGGCCATGAGGAACAGTAAACTCTGGCTTGGCACACAGAAAAGGGAGGAGGCGTGAGGAGAAAGGAGAGAGGAAGCAGAACACAAGTAACATTTTGACCCGTGTTGATGATCTCTCCCATACATGCAGTATTCACTCTGTGGCGAGCACTCCACTCAGCACTTTACAGACATAATCTCTAATAGCCCCATGAAGCTATTACTGCTACCATTTTATAGATGAGAGAATTAAGGCTTAGTAAGGTTAAATATCTATTAAAAAAATAGAAACCTTAAGGACTTTTTCATTTCCCTTATAGGTAGAAAAATCATCATAATGCTTGATGGTAAGAATTTTAAACCTATAATAAGTTTTATGCATTCAGATTCCTTAATATTCTGCTTATCTGTAAATGTATTTTCCTTTTGAGACAGCTGGAAGCTCCACTGGCCATGGCCATTGCTGGATCCCCCAAGATGGTGGTGCAGTGTTTTGCTGTCTTCACATCCTGCTTGGCCTCATCAGAGTCAAGAAGTCACTGACAGAACTGGGATATTTACTCTGGAGAGAAAGAAGCTTGGGATGAAAGTGGGGAAGACAATTGGCAGCTGTCTTCAACCATCTGAAGAAGGGCTGGCATGTGGAAATAAGGTCAGACCTATTTTCTAGGGCCTATGTAGCAGGGCCAGGACAAATGTAGGAGTTAGAAACAGGCAGTTCAGCCTGACATGAACAACTGTGCTAGGCTGGCTGTTGAGCAGAGAACATGCTTAAGGATGGGTTGAAGATATCCTAGCAGAGATTATACAGTCCTTTGGCCGATCACAGTGGGGAGAAGTCTAACACTACATGGGAGGGGTGGTTAGTAGACAACCTCTACAGCTTTCCCAGATTGGAGGTTAGAGTCTTCTGGCTGTTGGTGGATACACATTATTCCCTAAACTTTTCACTGCAAGCAGCAGAGGAGAGATCCTTCTTTTGAAAGCTTAATAATGAAATGTCATACCTGCTGCTGGAAAGTAGGGTGTCCCACAGAGAGCAGCAGCAGAAGCTACACTAAGAAAAGATGGGTCCCTATCTCTGTTCATATGTTTGTATGAACCAGCCCTGTGATTTCTCCTCCACCTTCCTTACCTATAAATATGGGGGTTGAATTAGAAGAAATTTAAGGTCATTTGCAGTTCTCACAGCCTATAATTCCATTTTTTAAAAAACAGTATCTGCCTTCTACTCATCACCTATTATCAGTTCAGTTTTCTTGTCCATAAAAATCCATGCATCACAGTTTTGCTGGGTTTGGTTTTTTTTTTCAGATTACAAATTTGAGTACTCACTCATTCTTGGCATATAAAAATTGAATAACCAACATTCTGCATGTAAAAGACACTGCACTGGAGGCTTAGGCCTAGTGACTTGGAAGTGTCAGGGGATGTAAGGATGAGAGGACAAGTGACAGAGACTTCCCTATAGCACAACACAAATCAAGTTCACAAAGATAGTTGTATAAACCAGCAGTGAGGATGGACTCTGTGAAATAAGCATTCCCTTCAGCATCATTGACTTCACTACTCCCTCTCCTTGCACAGCACTGGGAAGACTTTAGTTAAGCTCAGAGGATGGGTATGAGAACAATTTCACTACCCAGTGATTTAACCTGAAGTTGAACTTGGCATCACCTTGTGGCCACAGTTTCATTGGAGAGGTAATGATCAACAGGAGAGGTAGCTTGAAGGGTTAAAGAAGGAAGCGCCCCCCACTCATAGCTCCTCTTTCCAGCCTCCTCTCCGAATCGCAGCAGTTCTTTTTCAGCCTCTTGGTTGAACTGGCAGCTCTGACCAGAAGGGCTCCGAGTGTGCGAGAGTCCACTCGTGCCACTGATGCCTGAGTATCTTCCTAACTGTGCTGTGCTCCACCATTATCCTAGCAAGGAGAAGGAGCATGGGATTGTGCCCATTTCACAGACAGGAAACTGAGTGTCACCCTTAAAGAAGATGATCTCTCAGACCTTTTCTCTTTTCTTCTTGGAACCTCCAAACATGTCTACTGCCTTTCCTACCCATCACATACATTCCGTGTGCACAGAAGCCTCTGAGCTAATGTCAGAAGCTCAGCTCTGAGTCAATGGGATTTCAGGCTGAGAGATTAATGTGCTGTGTCATCACCTACGAAGGGATCCTAAGAGGTCAACAGGCAAGTCCTGAGGGCTTTGCCGGCAGGTGATTCACAGTGGGAGCTGCCCTGAGCTGTAGCAATGGCCTCCCACTCTTGTTTTCCTGGGCCTTTTGTCAGGGAGTCTCCAAGGTCTCAAGTGAGGAGTCACTGGGTTACCCCATGAGCCTGGCACCTGAAGGCAGGGTATTGTGAGGTCTGCTAGTATGAACTTCTTCACTATGGAAAGTTCTAAATCCCTCTTCCTTATAACTCTAAGGAGAAGAGGTTTGGGAAAGGGAGGAGATGCCTTGCCATACCTAAAGGCTTTTTCGTCTTTGTGTATACATATATCCTCAAAGCCATGCGGTTTAAGATGTGTGGGATAGATTAGGAATACTGCACAGGTGGAACTGGGATAGGAACTTTTTGAAATGTTTATTTACCCAGAAGGGTCTTTTTAGGGCTGGGTACTCCATGGGCTATATCCAAAGCATATAATAAACAAGACAGTCATGTAGCGTTTAGAACTTGACCCACCATTACTATCTGTGCAGCAACTGGACCTCTGGCAGGTGGGAGTGGGAAGAACTAAGCCAGGGTGGCCAAGGGATTGCATCAGGCCCTGTGCGCTGAAGGGAGTAGAGCTCACTCTCACTTCAGCTCACCAAGTCTCTGCATCAGCTCCCAGGGCTTCACTGATAAGCCTTCACCCCATTTATGAAGTATTTATGAAGAAATACTGAAAGCCCCTAAGAGGCAGTCTCCTTCTCTCTCCCCATTGTTATACAGGGACATCAGTCATAAGCATCCATAAGCTCAGAAGGCCATTAAAAAGGGTTCTTCACCTTTTGAGAAAGTTGTGCTCCTGTCCTTCTCCTGCATGTCTCTGTCTTTTCCAAATGACATTGCTTCTCCCACTCCCAACCTCCCAAGAGGTTGGCCCCAAGAAACTCCTACTTACTGGGGCAAACCTGTGTTTCCATCCAGGAGGAGGCCAGCTCTTTGCTGTACACAAGTCAATACAAAGAAAAGGTCCAATTTAGATTTCTGTCACAGTCCCTTTTTGCTATGTGTAAGCAGCTGAAGCCAAAAAGGACCTGAGGCTTCCATATTCACGTACTCCATTTCCACTGTGAGCAAGACCAACCCACCCCTTGGCTCTCCTAAGACCAGTGTCACATCAGTTAGGACCATTACAGCCACTTCCTGAAAACTCCTTTCACTAATCCTAAACTTCAGCATGACTTCTGTCCTCTACAGTATGGAAGCTGACTACAAAGTTTTCTTAAATCCCACATCCTACCTAGAGAATCCCCATTCCCAAGAAGGTGGCAGGGGGACTCCTTTCAAAAGATCTTGGACTGCGGGCTTTGATCCTTACTTTAGGAATACTTGTTTAAAATAGATTTTTGTCCTTCTCCTGCTGATTTCTACCACATTTCTGAACTTTGGCTTGATGAGATTAACCATTAAAAGATAATGATTAATGATAAAAATAGTCATGTTTTTGATTATCCCTTAGACTGGATTGTAGATTCAAAGTTCAAGAGAAAAATCACACAATACTAGACCTCAAACAGATTGCAAACTCAGTATGTTCCCTAACATTGCCTGTAATATTGGCAGAACTCTGAAACGAAATGTGATTTTTATATCTTCCCTGAATTTAAAAAGTGTCATATAAAATGGTTATCCTGAAGTTGAAACTCAAAGCAGTACCATAAAAATTACATAAAATTCCAACCTTGGTTCTCAAAGAGCAAGGTTTTTAATTCCCATCCTTCAGAGAAAGAAACTGTGTAAAATGAGAAGACAGACCCAGCTATACAAGCAGGGGGCTGATCTGAGAAGCTTTGGAGCCAGATGTGCTGTTTAGAGACCAGGTCTGTTTCATAGATTGCTAGGTTACATGGTAGAGACAATGGATCTTTTTGTCCTAGTACTTGACTTCTTCAAGACACAAATCTCCTTTTAAGCAGTGCATTATTTTATAGCTATAAAAAATAAATAAGTTCATGTATAAATACATACTAGAAAAGGGGAGGGTGGAAGTCACAAAGTCAATCGCAACTTGCAGGTGGGCTTTAATTCCACTACAGAACACCAGTTTGTCAAAATTTAAGACTTACTCCATTTGTTCTTAGAGGGTCCTGAAGCTTTGAGAAGGGAGTAACAGGGGCAGAGAGCTAGTTCAGATATTAAACAAGCACGTGTCTTTTTCTTGATAAGACTGCAGAGGCTAACTAAAGGTCAGATTGCTTTTCTTTTGATTGGGCTGTATAAACTTGGTGTGTTAAACTTAGATATTTTATGCTGGGTGACAATGTGTGGTTTTGATTAATAGTGATTGCTTTAAAATTATGTTTGATTGATAAATTGCCTCAAAACCAGAAGTCCATGAAGGGGCTGTGATAATGAAAGGGGAATTGGTGATGAATCATTAAACAAATACTAGTAACAGAAAAGAGACCTATGGTCTCAACCAGTCTTTGGTCGGGAATAATTTCACCAGCAGAGCTCAGTCAGTCTGGCATTAGCATAGTTTGTCTCTAAATACTTCAAAGGGAATTATTTATTTAGTAAATACTTACTAGGAACTGGGAGACAAGCTCTGTTCTAGGTATTGGGAAGAAAATGAGGAGTCAGGCCTAGGTCATATGCTTGTGATACTCTGCCTGTTACCTCTGGTCTAGTCTCTGCTCTGATCTGTGCCCTTGGGTGGTTGATCCCTTCAGCTGACACTAGGCCTCCCTGGCCTCTGGATTCTGGCCAGGTCAAGGGAAAGAAGTCACCAGCAGAAGGCCAGAGGGCAAGAGGAGAGGGGCTGGAGTGTTTATTCTCTCCTACATTTTGCCCTCCCCTGTTTGGCAGCGACTGCTTCCTCGGCCCATGGCCGCTGCTCCTGCCCAGGGCTGCAGCTCTTGCTGGATTCTGGTAGCTGTTCCTTGCCCTAGCCCTTCTGGCCTAGAAACATAACAGTTTCCCACTGTAATGAGAACTTGGTTACTTCCTGTAGGGAAGCCCCCAACCACCCAGTAACTTTCCCTACTGTTCTATGAGGACAGCTGTCCGCTGCTTCACCCCAAATATGTCTGGTCTTAAGAAACCTGAAAACATAGAATGTTGTACCTGTGAGACAGCAGTTAGATAAGGGCCCTGAAGGCCAGACACTGGGCCATGAAGGCCACATGCATGTGTGTCTTCAAATACTTCTGTAACTATGAATTAGCACTGTAGCAGTTTAAGAAGTACAGCTCTGTGCAGAATAATGTGGCCTCTTTGAGCACCTCTATGATGACTCCTGCTGCCTTTTTTGCTCTTCACATTGCCCCAAAACCTCAAAGGCAACCCCCAGACCCCGACACTTCCTCACCCTTTGTTGGAGTGACTAACCCTGCCTGTACCTCTGAAAAAACTCTTTACTAAAACTTCTTCAATTAAACTCTAATTTGATTATGCATACTGCTCCCTGCTAGGATCCCCACCAACATAGCTCCTGC